TATACACATCTTAATGAGGCATCCCATGATTTGGTTGGCTACTTTAACCTTACTACACTTTTTTTCTTGGTTTTGTATATTTTTACTCTATCTCATAAAGTATGGATACCTGATATGATGATGTTTATCACAGTAAAGACGAAAACTTAGCACATTTTCATCGGGGTCGCAGGACCGTGAGCCAAGGACTTCTTCGCACAATTCAACATTCTTCCTTAAGCGGAAATCCTCATTCGGTTTCCGGTGAGACTATAACACGAATTCATTCCAATCAACTTTTCCCTCGAAATGCAGTTATGTCACAATATATCATTAAGGAATTCTTCGAAACCCAGTTTTTATTTTTCTTCATATCTATCTTCTCATGACATGAACATTACATACACACCATAGACAATAGCATGAGCCCTAACATGATTTAACATTAGAGGATCGTACAATAGTTTTTATATGTAAGGAAACAGCTGCCACTGAACGCACTTTCGGTTCTAGATATAACTTTATTCATTTGCAAGCATATAGATTAAGTTTTAAGTAGCCAACCAAATCATGGGATGTCTTATTAAGATCGCGAAGTTATGTGTATAAAAAAAGCGACTAGATTTGCATCCGGACGCCTTTTCTTCTGGTTTAGCATATTTTTACTCTATTTCGTGAAGTATTGATACCAGCTCTGATGATTTCTGTCACAGTATAGACGAAAACTTAGCACAGTTTCATCGGGGTCTTAAGACAGGGGGCTGATGACTTCGTACAATTCAACAGTCTTCCCTACCCTGCAATCCTCCTTCAGTTTCCGGCGAGACCACATCACGAATTCCTTCCAACCAAATTTTTCTTCGAAATGGAATGTCATGTCCAAATATTGCTAATTATGCCAAATTTAGGTCGATCAATTTAGTAAGACATTAAAATTTTGTTTATATTGAGACTTCAATTCCGCTCTCCAGAGTTAGTAGGGCTTCTAACTTGGTTACTTTATTAATATCTTAGAATTTTTCCTCGCCTTTTTTTAAGAGATAGACAGACTTGTTAAAAAGGCGCGAATGTGACTGACTTAAAATAATACTTTTCGATTATGCCCTCTAGATAGAATTTTGATTCTTTATTTAAATCACGCTTTTTCAACCTAAAGGTCTTGGTGTCTTCCTTATGCTAGAGTCCTGTCGCCCATTAATCAAAAGGTAACAGCAAAAACTCATTGTAATTTCTACTATGTCCAATAAGCAAAGGTGTTTAGCACATATTCAATGACCTCAAGCGCATTGTTTCCATATTCTAGATAGTGCGCCTATTCGGCATTCATTTTTGGGAAATAAATCTTTTTGAAAGGCTGCATCAAAATCTAAATTCATTCTTCGGTATTTTACAGCTTGTGATTAAATCTCAAATGTCATTTCTCCATAATTTCCCTCTTATTTTTATTTTCCAAACTCTAATAAAGCCTGAGCACAACTTTCCCTTGCCCCATTCGCTCTCTTCAAAGTCTCCAAATGAGTCTTCAAATGTTATTGGGTCTAGCTGTTCTATGGATACCTACAGCGAATCCCTTGCCCCACTTAGACCCTCTTCGCCACATCTATCCTCCGTTACGAGTAATACAGAGCTGCAGACCCAATCGGCTACTGCTAGATATTCTGATACGAAGCCAAACATATATCCCTTGCGCCAACAATATACTGCCTCACCTTCACGACCAGTATCACTCCAACCCCAGTCTCAATCACAACCCCCAATAAATTATCAGCAACACCATTGTCCAAATTCTCACCATCATCTCCTTTTTCGACAGCAACAGCGCAATCCGCCTTCACACTTATCAGCTAAGTCAACTCCAACCCAGAAACCACCCTCTTTGCATCAACATGCAGCGCCTCAGAGGCATACTAGCTCTCCTGCTTCTTCCATCTTCTCTGACATTGGCTCACTCGCCTCTTTTCCACTCGATTCCTCTACGATTGGTTCAGAGGCTGCTGCTCCCACAACCTCTAATTCAGCCTCTACATCCTCAATGTCTTCTTCGAGCCCAGTGCTTTCTGCCCTTATTGAACATCAGGTGACCTCGAGTGGTTTGGAGTCCCTCCTCTTATTACGCCTCTGGCTGCAGATCACATTCGAACTAGAGGAGGTCGGATATGCCAACAAGAAGGCAGCAGCAGAATTGCAATTAGCTCAGGCCAGGGAGGGCGTAAGTCAATTTGTTTTATTTTTGCATAGAAGTTCTTATTTGCATGAATGATCGTATATGTTGAGTCGCTGATTTTTAGGTAGATGCATGTTTGAAACACAAATATTTTTGATCGAAGGTATGAAGACCAAGGTGGTGTGGCCTTTTGTACGATCACGGTCTCCTTTCGATGTATACTAGTTGTTTGACCTTGTTTTCGCAACTTCGTTATATTGGCGGGAAGATCTAGAGAAACGCACCTAGTCAGGAGTCCATAGTATGCATGATAATTTCCAAAGTCGGATCATGGATTCTGTTGTGGGATTTTCGGCGGAACAAAGTTGTATCGACTACATTATTAATTTTACCTTTATAACTAGGCTTTCGAGACTACTGGAATTTCCCCTATTTTGTTTACGATGCTGAATATCTTTCTTTAATCAATGCTGTGAAATTAATTGAAATCATGAGACCTACTCATCTTTGTTGGATAATTAACTACTAGTCCTTTATCTCCTTGGATGAAATAGGGTGGATATGGCTCTTATAGAAGACCTACTGTTAATCTCGAAAACCTGCTTATTAATGAAAAATTTAAGTAGTAGGTTTTGAGACGACCAGTAGATTTTTACAAGAAGTGGAGTCACCTTAGTTTTGACTTTAAAGTCACATCTGCTCTGTTACCCATTATCATCAAGGGTCTAGTTTCCATCCTCGTTGAGATCGTTGCTAATACTCAGACGATATTCAAATTGCCGTCATCCTGTTTGAAGAAGCCTTTTGGGAGGCAAGGCTGAGTAATATTCCATATAATTCTGGAGCCTCTTTGTAGTATACTGTTAAAAACCCAAATATTATACTTTCTATTAGATTAAACTACCAGGTGGGTCTTGTTCCGTTGCAAGCCAATTTTCGCCAAAAGAATTATTTTACTTTGGCAGAACTATGAAAGTTTAAATAACTATGCAACCTTTCTTGATTTATGCTATCAAAGCGCACCGGCCAAAAGTGTATTAATTTAGCAAAAAGAAAACTCAAATAACGACGGTTTTGAGCAAA